GATTATAGAATTGATTTCAGAGTGAATTTACTTGACATATTTTACTTTCTATTGCTTCCGTGGTTGTCACTTAAAGGACATGTCTGATCTTGGCAGAGCCTCAAATTCAATAGGATAGGAAGTGAGTACTTATTTATATTTCCCAATTCTACTTTATTTTATGCTTTAATTTTAGGCATTTTCTGCCATACACAAGAACTATATTTGTTGAAATAAAAAAGTTTATAAGATTTATTTAGAATTAGAGCTAGACAAGTCGGATTAGAATCTCTTGCACCTAAGGAGTTGTAGAAATATAAGTAGTATAATTGTGGGTGGGTTTCCTCACTTTTTCTTCAGATGACATTAATATGTGATCAAACAATCTGCCATCTATAATGTTTGTCTAAAATGTTCACCAAATTTCAATCAGTTACCCTAATCATGGTTATTGTCAACATCAAACTCAAAAGCAAAATCATTTCTAAGAAACTGATGGATCATTTGTGATCGCTCCCAAAGTTCTTTGTAATGGCAACAAATCGATATGTGACTTCCTTAGAATTTTAAAGTGCTTGACATGTTCACAAAATGGCCTAGTATTGTTTGGATAGTCCATCAGCATGACATATAGTGTAGAAATAAAGTTTAAAATTAATGAGTAACATCATGAAAAGAAGAACTAATCAGATTAATCATTACACAAAAACTTTTCAATTTCCTTCTACCATTTTCTTTTCTGACAGCAGAATTTGATTCTATCCTGTAGATTTGAAATCTACTAATTAATTTTGTATAAATCCTTTCAGTAAGTAAGAGACAAATTGGATGAATTTTATCAGGCAAATCAATGATAAAAATCGCATGTTATATATATATTCCTTTTCTTTAATTTACAAAGGAATTAATCAGGATTTTGAATTCCAGAAAATGTCAGTTCAATATTACCTGTTGATAAGTAATTTTCACTAATGTTATATCTATTTAAGGTGACAATTAATGAAATGGGCTGTAGATATATTACCATAATCAGATCTTAAAGATAATTTTTTAAAGGGATGTTACTTCCTAAATATTTACTTGAAGAGCTCAATGGCACTTTTATAAATATAAATGTGAGATAGAAATGTATAAAGACATATTATCATGCACAAAATGATCCATGCAAGTTTCGACTATGGTTAATTCCATTCTTAAACATCATTAGTGGTTACTTCCACAGAATAATTTTATTGAGTATCAAGAGAACCATATGTCAGATAGTTATTCTGAAAGGTGCTAAAGATAGCTTAAAGTTAGCTCGTAAACAAATGCTCAGACAACTATATCCTTTTCAGCTATATACTTTTTAACAAGAAATGGAGAGGACATTTTTACCTTTAACCTCAAGAAAGCATTTTATGATGAAAGATTTACACCAAATTCTGTATCCAAATTGGATATACATAAATCTCAGTGGAGCTATATAGTCTACTTTCTTATTTACATATAGATAAGACATTTAAAATAGGGGAGGTTTATTATTTCTCAGCAAGAAATATAACAATATTTATTGTCAATTATATAGGAACAGCAATGATTGGACATGATTGATTTTAAGAAAGCAACTTGAAATTCCAATAATAATGATGGTTTCCATGAATACAGAAAATAATAACTTATTTCATTCATTCCATATTATTCCAACCTGCCAAATTATTTAAATTAGGTGACAAGCTAACTTACAATATATTAAAGAAATACCAATACAACGTTAAAGGGAACATACGTTTCTGAAAGAATTGTAGCATTTGATATTGAGCCATTTCATGTTGTCAGGATATGAGCTGAAGTTCTTTTAACTTGATATGTTCGTGCTAATTTGGACTTGGATATGTTGTTATGATAAGTTGTTATCCTGTCTTCAAAGCTTGTTTAAATGCAGTTATATCTTATTTTATAATGCACTGTCACTTATATCATTATGTGCCACTTATGTGCCATAATAACAAGCTCATTTGATATGCAGTGTGATCACATGTGCTAGCTATGATATGTAGAAATGCATTGTCATATACATGAGATATGATATAGACAGGTTGTGATATGCAGTTGTTGTGATAAGGCTATTGCTCAACCTATTTTCAGAGGTATCTATACAATATCTGAGATCAGAATTCATAACAAGACTGCTGAAATGTGGCTGTCAAATAGCATTTCATCTGATCTTACAGATTTGGAGAATTTATAAGTTTGTAGATGTCTAGAGAAATGATGAATTATAGATAATTATAATGAGCACCTAGCACTGGTTGAAATCCATTAGTATATCTAACATCAATATGAATCATACATAATTTATTAAAATAAGGCTCTATAGAGATTACTTCATTATGGCATTGTTATTGAATGTGTCGGAATAAACCATTCAGGATCGGGATAAAGGTGCAGATAGACACAAAAGTACATGAGGTATCGATAGGGCTTGGTATAGAACACCAAATTGAGATCGCTTATCGATGGCAGACTACCATCAAATAATAATTTATAGTAAGTAATGTGCTGAGGAAACTATGTGAAAGAGATTACTACTCGTTATAATAAGGGGTACACTGGAGAATTTGACATTTAATCAATTACTAAATTTGATAATCAAAATTTATAATTCATAGGGACGATAATGGATTATTTTACCCAGCCCTAGGTATGGATGGTGACACAATGCAAACAAGTTTTGCTTCTTTTTTTCTCAACTATATCCATAATGTTACACCATACATCACACTTGATCTATTAGCACCCTACTACTGATATCTTGTAAATAACTCATAAATACATCTTAATCATGCTTATATATTCACTGATAATTGTCATCTATTAAATATGGATGATGGTAGACTAGTCAACAGCCTTATCACCTTGTTTAGCTTTGGTTGTAGTACCAAATACCAGTGTACTATGAAAAGTGTGCATATCAGTTGGTTTTAATTGCTAAACTACCATAAATAAAATACAATTAAGGGTAATTTTTGCGCAAATAATTTAGTATCTATTATGGTGATCTGGATATCTTTGAAATTTTAATCTGAAATGGAACTCTGATTATTAGTTGGAGGACTAATTGCATATAATTTTTGAACATTACATAGAGATTTACAGAAAAAACTTTGAGACCATGCAAATCTAGTTTTTAAATTGTGAAGATGTTTAGACCTTAGTCTCAGTATGTGAATCATAATATATCAATAATTTACTTCAATAATACAGAAGAATCTTGCTAACATTAGCTGGTATAATCTCTTATTCTGACCTATTGCCTTATTTACATCTTATTCAAGGATATAATGAATTAGCTTTATTATACATTCCTTGGTTTTCAATTGTGGTCTGAAAGTGTAGATAACAAATAATAGTTGCTTCTGTAGGGACACATTGTCAGGTCAGAAACTTGGTCAGCAATCCATGCTTATATTTGAGAACTATGCAGAAGTCTGATGACCTTGAATAAGTCATCTTCACTCATAATTCTCGACCAAGCTGTAAAGGTATGGATAACCTGGGAAAGATCAATGCTAAGAGGTTTTGCCAAGGATTAGCTGGTAGAAAGGATCCTTAATTGTGTATGTTTGCTGTTCCTTGTAAAATATAGTTGTTTCTTTCCTTCTAAAAATATCTAAGAATAGTCTGACTGAACCTTACCCCAACTCTGTAGTTGAACACTTGAAGACTTTTATCCCCTGAAGTATTTAACTTGAAGACAAATTTCCATATTCAATTGATATGGTTGTCTCTTTATCTGGTTGTTTATCTCTAGATATAACATATATTGCTTAATAATAACTTGGAACTGGATGATATTTTCAATCAAACTAGTTACATAGAGATGCTATGGAGAGTACTGTAATTTCCGATGAGAGATATAAGACCACGTCCATCAATTTATAATATTAAATATATCGGTAAGACATCTCATGGGATTTGATTCAATGTGAAGTCAAAGTAGGCTTTTTTGATATGGCTGATGTATAATAGATATACTTGTTGATGTATCTTCAAACATTATATAAGAAAATATTGTGATTGGTTTCAGGTTTCATGATTAAAGAAAGTTTCATCTGAGTTGATTTCAAAAATCTTTTGTTTGTGTAAATCTGATTTTTTATATTTTCTTTTCATTTATATACAAAACCCAATATGTATGCATTTGAAGCAATTGTATTGAAACTTGATATGGTTTCTTGTACTCTACTATTGTTGTGATACTATCTTAGTTAGCTAACATGGTAAATTAATGAAGTCAGAAGAGATACAAGTTAAATGTCTAGACCAAGACTTGTAAATCAAATATTTAATCTGATACCCATATCAATATAAGATACAGAAGTGCTGGGCATTGACCAAAGAATTGTTGATACACTATGATAGATAAATATAGAGCTCTCTGCTTTTCTTTCATTTTCAATCCCTATCTTGAATGACTGCAGTCAGGACAGTGGTTCAACTACCGTAGGCACTGGTTGAACCAAGTCCACTAGCCCAAACCCCCAAGGAGGCCCCCCACCCAAGAAAAAAATACAAAATTAAAACAAATCTACCAAAATAAGTATCAGTTCGCTTTTTACTGAGAACAGAATATTTATTACTTAAAATTACCCATTAATCTGGTAATCCAGTTCCTGTTGTGATTGACAACCAATCATGCTATATTATTGAAATAAAATGTTAAATTATAAACATTAGGGGTTATTCACGAAGTATTAACCCTATAAAGTAGGCCTTTTAAATAGGAAGGACATAACTATGATTTTATGATTTTATCGTCAACAGAAATGTGTGGATAAAGAAGGCTCTACTGTAATTATTAGAATATTATGTGTAATATTACAGTTTCATCTTCTTTTCTTCCAGAAACTTACTAATCTATTTCAAGCCTAATTTGGCTTGCGTTCTGTCAATACTAGAATTAATTAACTAATTACTGATTTGATTGATTAGTCTAAAAACATCTTCAGGCTGATGTTGTTTTATTCTTTTTTTTACAGAACATTTGGAATATTTTCTCACAGACCCCAGGACAGAAAAGATGATGATGACCATGATTATAAAGAAAAACCAATACAACGCAGTCGCACTCTAGATGTAAAGAAAGTTTTTTGGAGAAATGATATGGAAATAAGAAGAGTGAACTCAGATAGATTTACTCGCCGAAATAACAAATCTGAACATGGATCTCATGCACAAACCTCTCGAGCAAGGTAGGATATTTGTTGTATTTAAGCTGACACTATGTTGACTCTCAAAAGCACTGGCTGTGGCATCAGAATATTTCTTACCTTGAAGAGATTAAGGCCCATACTACCTAACTGCGTTGGTGCTTTACATTTAAGTTCATGCCTTCATACCACAATGGATGGCAAATACAGCCAAATCATCATCCTTTACATAAAGTTTTGTCACTCAAAAATTAGCCAAACAAAAGTTAATTAAAATTTCAAATGTTCTCTTTTGAGATAAAGACTATAGACTAAACTAGACTTGAGTGAAATAAACATTATTTCAGCTTACTCAGTAATTATTATATATACAAATAGATTATGTGTAGATTGAATATGAAAATTCTAGATCATATTTCTAAATTGCTCAAATTAGACTTTGATCAATATATTAGTCTGTTTCAAATCTTTTTGATGTGAAACATACTGTCATACATATTACTTGAATGGATTGTTGTCTGGAATCTTGACATTGTTAAAAGATTATTTTGATGCCATAAGATCTCCAGACCTATATCACGATGAATGTAATTGTAATTTGGTCACGATAAATTGATCACTGGTTATGTTCACAGTCACAAGTCATATTTATTTTGTGTCAATTGATGTAAATTGGTCAATAAGTAAAATGGTTATGGCCATGGTAGCAATAGTAGTCACAAGGTTAATTGGTAATTTAAATTTGTCTCAATTTGATCCGGGCAAATTGGTCACTTGGTAAATTGGTTGTGGTCATGGTACCATCACATTAGTGCCGTTACAAAGTAAATTGGTCACATGAATATGGTTGCAAAGTAAATTGGTCCCTGGCAAATTGGTCACATTGTTAATTGGTTATGGCCATGGTCACAATATTTTAGTTACAAGGTAAATTGGTCACAATAATTCGGTCACAAGGTAAATTGGTCACATGGTTAATAAGTTATTTTAATATTGTCAATTGCAAATTGGTCACAATGGAAGAGTCACAAGTTAAATTGGTCACAATATATTAGCCAAAAGGTAATATTGGTCATTTAGTAAATGGTTATGGTTAGGTCAAGGTCAAATAGCTAATGACCTTGGATTAAAGAAAAAGTAGATTGAAAATCCACATCAACAGAAAACATAGATTGTGATTTTAGAATGAGGTTTGATTTCACAAAAGTAAGAACCTACAAGGCAATAAGGTTTGAGAAAAGTTAATCAGATTTGATTTGAAACACATGTGTAATTTTCTTATCACTCTACATTTTAATAACCTTTTATAAGTAAAATATATTATTCTTCATTGTAATTAAATCTTGACATGTGATTGTCTTTGATGGATGGTATGTAATTTTTTAAAAATATTATAAGTTATAAGCAAGAACTGAAGCTGTGTAGTTTCTGTATTTTAATGTCTTTGACAAGGTGGAAGGTGCAAAATGCCAAGTGTCATTCCTTCTAAATTTAAATTTCTATCCAAGGAATTGAGGTAATGTTAAATATTTCTTATATGGTTAGTGTAAAATGCACTAATTTTCTCTATCTCTACCCAGATGTTTCGAATCCTCCTCAACGTAAGAAAAGTTCTGATGCCAGAGCCAGTGCTTCAGGGAGTCTACCAGATGATAGAATATTACTAGCAATCAAGCTAAGAC